CCCTGCAGAGATGGCCTCTCTGGGGGTCAGGATGCCGGCCGCCTGCTTTGCTTCAGAATGAGTAGAAGCCTAGAGGGATCCTCTTTCTCTTAGGTCTGCTCCCTAAAGACGGCAGGGAAGGCGCAACACACGACCTGACGCCCCACCTCACAACTGCTGAAGAACTGGTGTGAAGCCCAGGGGAGCAAAGAAAGAAACCGAAACATGGGACCGGGGAAGAGCACAAAGCAGCTGTGGGCCTTGCACATCAGACTCGGATGCTGCAAGCGCTTATCGCGTTTCCCTCGCCGTCCTGGGAGCTCCGTGGAAGAGACGTGGGCATCCGTCTGTTCCAGGTTAGGAAATTCGGGCTCAGAGAGAGTAAGATTCCTCCCAGAGCAAACGGTAAGGAGAGGAGAGAGGATTGGAACCCAGGGCTCTTTGCATGTCATTCTAGCTCAAAGGAAGCACAGACCCAAGTTTTCCAAAAGGCCTGGAGCCCTGCTGGGCCCCCGGCTGCCCCAGGGGCTCACCCAGGAGCAGGGTTTGCATGGAAGCACACCGTGGAGCCCACCTGGGGCCGGGGGGCCTCACCGAGCACAGTGACGAGGGACTTGGCGGTCCTCACAGGCATGGTGAAGATGGAACAGGTGTACTCGCCCTCGTCCGCCAGGGCCACGTTGCTGATGCTGATGCTGAGCTCGTGGGGGGTAGATCTGACCAGCTGGATCCGATTGTCGCGGAGGGCTGGGGACATCGGAGGAACAGGAAGTGGGGCTTTGACGGGCACTCTTCACGTTCACCTTCCCGCCCCAGGCTGGCGTCTTTGGGAGAAGGGCGCTAGCGTGCTTTGGGGCAGGGGCGACTGCTCCCGAGTTGGAGCGCTCTTTACGTGGTCACTTTTCCGAGCCCTTGGGCACAGCAGCCTCGGGGACACTCAGAAAAGTAGGCTTGAGTCTTGCAGGGCAACACTGACACCAGGTAAATCTTGGGGCTCCTTTGGGGTGTCGCCCCTGGGGGACCCTGTGGGACCGTGCGTGGCTCCGGTCAGAGCTGCGACACTGCGGTTTCTCCGGAGCCAGCAAGGAGCCCCTGGCTTGCCTTCCCCAGGCCCAGCCTCCCAACCACGGGCTCTGGATCCCGGGCCCCGGCCCACGGCTCCCCCGGAGCGAGGACACCTGGGACACTACCTCTCTTCTCTCCAAAGTAGAGAGTCTGCTGGGCAGGGTTAGACCACTGCAGAGATGAGTCCTCGTGATCTTTCACTTGGCACTTGAGCACCACGGTGCCACCGGCCACCACCGTCTCATCAGATGTCCAGGGCTGGCTATCTGCAGGAGTACGAGAGGGTTAGCTTCCCGAGGACGCCTTGGCCCCTCCTCCCGCTTCTGGGCCACTCTGCGCCTCATCTACCCCAGACCGTCCAAGGCCCGGGTGTCTGCGTTCTCCTAAGGCGTCGTGGGGGAGGGAACAGAGGTGGTGGGGACCAGGGACGGGGACACAGACCTTCTCGCCCCTCGCTTGGAACACACAGAAGAACAGTGGCTTGCTGCATGTTTGCTGAGTGAACTGACAGGGCCACCAGCCCCGAGAGGAATAAAGGCGCCCAGCTCTACAGAGCCCTGCACACGCATCTTCCCTGATGCCGTTCACTCTGAAAGCACGCACACGCATCTGTCCCTCTAGGCGCTTCCTCCCTGCCTCCGCCCGCTGGGAAGAGCACGGACAGGAGAGGCGCTCGAGGCTGAAAATCCCCAAACTTAAGGTGAGCAGAAGGCCAAGCCCGCCTTGGGCCCCACGTTCGTTTACGTAAGAGGTAGCTGATAAAACTGTGGAATAAGCAACACAAAAGACTTAAAAAGAAAAGAAAGAGAAGCTGAAACATTTTGGCACAGACTTTTCAGTTCCTCCCACAATAGCTTCCCTTCATCGTCAGCTCACATTCTTTCGGTACCAGGACAACCGGCCTCTCAACACACAAACTCAAATCACCCCCCTCGTGCTATATTTGAGAGTAAGGGATTAAGGGTTTTTTTCCCCCTTCTATGTGATGGAACAGACCTTCTCACCCCTCTCTCCTTAGTCAAATTAAACACCGAGGACGAATAAGACACCGTGCGGATGCGGCATCTGACTCCCCGATGTGCCTTCCTGCTGGCCTGGCCGGGAGCCCCTCACCCAGCATGGCTCCGTGTCCCCCACGGCATGGATCCTGCTCCCAGTGCTGATTCCCTCATCTCCAGGACTGACTTTCTGGGACCCCAGAGAGAGCAGCGACCTCCACAGGACTCAAGCAACCCGGCCTCCCCGCTCTGATTTCTGAAGCATCCGCAGCCTCTCTTCTGGGGTGCTAAACTAGTTAAGCAGCATTCTTCTTCTCTCCATAGGAAGCCAAGAAGCCTACTTCCTACATTCCCTAACTGAGTGATTTTAAAGGCTCCGCATTCTCCCTATAGCCCTGGCCTTCCCGCGGCCCCATTACTCCTCTCCTTCTCGGTCACCGGAGCTCTATTCCAAGAAATGCATGACGAACGCTCCTAGCAGAGAAGGGGCCTTGAGGAGAGAAGAGGGTGGCTGTCTCCACACTGGAGCCCAGAGTCTGGCCGCTGGTGCTGTGCTCAGAATCGTAACAGAACTGAGGGGGGAATCTTCGGGATCGTGGAATCCAATCCCCTCGTCTTACGGATGCAGACAATGAGGCCATGGAGGTGGAGTGATTGCCCAGGCATCGATCAGTGACTCCAGGGAGGACTACAGCTCTGTTCTTCAACTCTCAACGCAGTGGCCTATTCATGGGGATGCTCCTCAAGTGCAGTCTAACTTGAAAATGTAAACTATGATTTTTAAGAGCCAGGGACTGCGCTGCCTGAGTAAACTGGGGAGTGATTTATCCCTTAAGCATCCGAACAAAAGGTTCTGGGAAACCTTTCATCCACCGCTAGCCACATACCAAGTTTTGACGGGTAATCCTGTTAACCCTGGGTCCCTTTGAAGAACTCTATGTCGATTGTGCCTTCTAAGCACCTCCTTATTCCGAGTTAATACACTTGTAGCTGGAATCATTTTATTTTGGGGGAAAGGTGTAGGGGGTCCAGAGGTCTGTGTACTGGAGCAGGGGAAGAGGCGTAGGTGCAAGAGAAGTCGGTGGTGTGGAGCTAGAACTAAAATGTCGGATGGAGCTGTGTGGTAATGAGGGATGAGTGAGAACATAGGGCAGAGGCAACATGAGCGGGAGATGATGTGAGGATGGTTGAGGGAACCGAGGGACATTGAGATGAGGGGCCTGGATTCTCACCTTGACTGGCCAGCATGTCAGGGCTGCTCCAGACTGTGGAGCTGATGGCCTCGCCGAGTGGGGCCAGAGTTCCCAGCTCCAAATCCTGCTCCTGCCAGTAGCCTGGGGAGAGAATCTCCATCAAGGATGAGCCCTATATACTTGCTGCCACCACCTGGGATACTCTGGTTGTTGGGAGCGGGGGTGGAGAGAGGACAGGCCCTGGATGAAAAGCAGGTTCTCCAGGTACCTAAGACAAGGTGGGTTACTCACCAAGGGGAGACGTTCGCTAAAGTCCTCAAAAAGGAAGTGAGCTCTTCTTCCCAAGGGGGGGTTATGAAAGGAGGATGCTAACTTAGCTTTTCTTTAACCAGTCAGCCACACAATGTCAGAGCCAGAAGAGATCTGAAAGATCCTCTGGTCCAGTTCTCCCACTTTGCAGATGGGGACAATGGAGCCTAGAAAGGTCCAACGTCACTTGGTGAAGGTCCTTCCAGAAAATGAAAGATAAGCACAAAGATTTTTCATTCCTTATCCAGGACTCTTTCAGGTACGCGGTCCTGTCTACTAACACAACAACAGATGTAGCCATCAGGAAACACGCTTACTCTTCGTCCTTTGAATAGACCCGTGACACACACACACACACACACACACACACACACACACACACACACACGCTGGTTCCTGTTTTGCAGCTCGTGAGCAGAGAGAAGGGACTTGCCCAAGGTCATGCACGCAGGAGAACAAAGACTGGGAATCAAAGGCCCATCCGGAGTCCAGAGCTCGCTGACTTTCCCGCCTAGGCCCCGGGCGCTGCAGGCAGGGGTGGCGGAGGGAGTAGGGGGTGGGGGTGGGGGAGGGGAGGGGTGCAAGGTGCCACCTACCAGCGGTCGCGGCCTGGGCTGCCCCGCCTGCCCCCGGACTTCCCTAGCCGTGCTCCCCTCCCCCGCCGTGCTCCCCGCCCCACCCTGCCCGCCGGGCCCCGGCGCTCCCCGAACCCGCGGACGGACAAAGAAGCCCGCCTCGCGAAGCCGCCAAGGCTCCCGCCGCAAGCCCCGGAGCAGCCAATCAACGGCGCAGAGCTCCGTGACGTCATCGGCTGCTGGGCAGAGTCCGCAGCGGCGGCGCGTCCCGGGCCGGGAGTCGCGGGAACTTGGCAGGCGCGGCGGGACCCGGGGAGGCCGGCGGGCGAGCGCAGCCTGAGCAGGGGCCGGAGACAGGGGACGGGACCCCGGGGCACCGCAGAGCCGGGAGGAAGGGGGAACGGGGCAGGTGGAGAGTGGGAGAGCGGGGGGAGGGGAGAGCAGAGGGGGGGGGAGAGTAGGGGAGGGGCGGTGCGAGCGCAGCCTGAGAAGCGGCCCGGAGACAGGGGACGGGACCCTGGGGGCATCGCAGAGCCGGGAGGAAGGGGGGCACGGGGCAGGGGGAGAGCAGGGGGGGCGGGGAGAGCAGAGGAGGGGCTGGGAGGGGAGAGCAGGGGAGGGGTGGTGGGAGCGCAGCCTGAGAGGGGGGCCCGAAGAGAGGGGGCGGGGCCCCGGCGGCACCGCGGAGTCCGGCCGAAGGGGGACCCAGGGCAGGTGGAGAGGGGGAGAGCAGGGAAGGGGCGGGGAGAGCAGGGAAGGGGCGGTGCGAGCGCAGCCTGAGCAGGGGGCCCGAAGAGAGGGGACTGGACCCCGGGGGCACCGCAGAACCAATCGGGAGGAAGGGGGCACGGGGCAGGTGGAGAGGAGGAGAGCAGGGAAGGGGCAGGGAGAGCAGAGGAGGGGCTGGGAGGGGAGAGCAGGGGCGGGCCGGGGCAAGAGGTCTCGCCCCAGAGTGCGCCTGGGCGGGTCCTCACACGCATCCTCCAGGAGATTGGGGGAACCCTGTTCCCTCCAAGAGCGGAGGCCCCAGGCCCCCCCACGGGCGGAGGGAGAGTGCCAGAGGGTCGGCGGGAACCCCGGGGCCGCGGGCACAGCGGGCAGCGGGGGGACGCGGGGGTGCAGAGCGGCGAGAAGGCTGCGGATGCCCGCCCGGCCCCGGGCGCCTGGGCGCAGGGCTCTCCCCCTCCCGGCCGCCCCCTGCCCTCCCGGACTGCAAGGCTGGAGGCCGCCTGACCTGGTGAGTGTTTCATCTTCTTGTCCAGGTTGTGCATTTGCGGGCGGGCGGACGCACGGTTGGAAAGCCCGATTGGGGTGCTGGGGGGACAGGGGGAAGCCAGAGGGGGTCCCCGCCCCCCAGTACCGGGACTGTGTGCACTAGGTAAGCACCAAACAGGCCTTTGCTCACAGGGACGGAGGGAACGGCCCCGCGTACTTGGGCACAGCACCCCTGGGTTTGCAGGTGGACCTCAACGTGAGAACCACCTAGAGAGGGAGGCCGCCCAATGGGACCGCCACTGCTTTTAGACAGGAGGTTGGAGTCGGCCATGGCTTTCCTCCAGGCCCACAAAGAGCAGCCTCTCGAGAAGCCTCTCTGTCTCCCTGGGGGCCCTCAAAGCTTTCTCAGCAGCTCCCTTTCCGCGTGGCCTGTCCGCCCGTCCCCGTCGTATTGAGGCCGCGTGCTCACTTGGTAGTCCCCCCATCTCAACTTGGAGCGGCTGGGAGCTGGGGCCTGGCCCTACTTGCCTTTGTATCTTCAGCTCTCGGTGCTTGAAATGGAGTCTGGCCATTCCCGGGGCACACCTGGCGCCCTGCTGTGTGTCCCCGCACCAGGCAGAGGAAGTACCTGCCCAGCAGCCCAGCAGCAGGGATGTGGTCTCCACTCTCCCCCCCCCTTTTTTTTGCTGCATTCCCTCAATTGCTTTTCTCCCTGCTTCTATTTCTTTCGTCTCTCCCCTCCTCCTGCATTTTGCTGGCATTGCCTCCCCCCCACCATGGGACGAATACGTGGAATGGTGAACCACACCGAACTGTTCGGATGAGAGGACTGATAACTAACACCAATAGTGTCCAGGAAACGGCATAGATCGTCTCTGTCCATCCCTGAACTCACTCTGGTTTGTAGTGTTTTTAGAAGCCGGGGAACAGCGAGCTGTGTGGTGTTTGTTTATTTTTTCCTTTCCCTGATGGGGTGATGTGCTCCCTCCAATTCTGAAAAGCACTTGTGATCTCATGCCTTCTCTTGAGAACTGTCTGTTAGCGTGCCTCCAAGTTTTCTCACTTCTTAGGACGTTGTACACCCGTAATAGGAAGTCCTGATGGCCACTCCCCCGGCAGCAGCCGAGTGATGAGAATGCTATAACAGAAACAGGCGTAAGTAGCAGAGATGGTGGCCGGGGCCGCCAAAGCCTTGTGCCTTTGGGTTCAGACTGCGCCGATCATTTAGGACCCCGGCTTCGATTCCTTCCGTGGACCCCAACGAGCAGGGAAAGCTCAGGAGCGCTCCGGAAGGGCGGCATGACCCTTGCAGTGGACACAGCAGACCTTCTGCTCAGAGCCATCGGCCCACAGAGCCACCTGTTTGGGGGCCCAGGCTACTCATAGGGAAGAGCAGCGAAGAGATTCCATTCACGGGCCTTACTGTCTTCCTGCTTCCCCTTCGCTGACATCCCATCCTTTGCGGATAATATCCAGCTGGGTCGGGCTGACGTTCGAGACCCTGGGCAGCCTCATGCCACTGTGCCTTCCAGCTTTGTCTTTTCTTTATCCCACGCATATCCCAGACATGGTGCCTTTCTGAGTTTTCTAAGGACCCTTGGCTTGCCTGCCCAACCCCTTCCTACCGTAACCCTGCGGATAATGCCCTCCACCCATCTTCACACATCTAAGCCCTTCCCGTGCCCACAGCCTCCTTTCTGTGCCACTTCCCAGGAGAAGTCTTCCTTACTGTTCCAGATGGAAATCCTTTCTGGCTTCTCCGAGTTGCGACACTTTATCTACTTTTCTTAAGTTGTGCTGCGAGTTTGGAGTTTGGCTTCCCCCACTAACTTACAAAGATTCTGCAGTTAGGGGCTGACATCTGATTCACCTCTGTATCCCGCACAGGGCCCTAATGCAGCGTATTGCACGTAGAAGGGGCTTAATAAATACATATTTAATAAATGAGTCAAAGATGCTGGGCATCGTCTGTCGTGAGAAGTAGGCTCAGCATCTGGAAAGAGCAAACCAAACCGGGGAGGAAGACACAGGACAAAGGAGAGGGTAGACCGTCCAGAGGCTGAAGCTCTTGAAGCGACGATATGATGGGAATCGTATTTATTGATCACCTCGGGTGTGTCAAAATCCAAGTTAGGTGCCCGAGAATCGTTATCCAGTACAGCCCTCCTGATAGCTAGTGCTACGCACGAGTTGACCAAGACACGCAAAAATTAAGCAACTCATCCACATGATGGAGCCACCAAGTGTCCAATGAGACCCCTCGGACTGCAGAGCCCAGGCTTTGTGCACATCTCTGCTGCCCGCCTTCCTCTGCAGGAGCGTGCATTTCGTGTGTGTGTGTGGGGGGGGGCAGGAGTTCTAGGGGAAAAGATTCCTTCCCGTGTCACTGGCCAGGGCTGGCTCACCTCAACAGCGGTCACTGCTCACCTGCCATGTGGTCAAGGTAACCACTGTAGCACGCTGGGAATGGGGGCTTGTGGTGGCGATGGGATGGCTTGTACCCACTGAATGTCATCTTTAATTGGATTTCCTCATGTGGCTCATTGATACGTCTGGGGGCTACTTCATTTACCCCCAAGAGCTTCACAATGTGGGGCTTTTGAGCCAACCACGTGGTAAGAGGTGTCTAGTTAAAACTAACAGAATCCCTTTACGCTTTCATAGGACTCCAGTGTCTGGGCCGAAAACAGAGTGAGCGTCTTGTTTGCTCTCACTTGCCTTGGGGGCTTCTTAGTTCTTGGTTTATTTACCAAGAATTTCCAGGATCTATAGGACTCGTAGCATCGTAAAGGACAAAGTAGCCCTTTCACCCACCAGTGTCCTTCTGACTGATTGTTCACATTAAGAGTAGCAGAGGTGGGAATTGGAGACCTACCAGCGTGCCCTGGAAAGCACAGTATCACCTGTGACTCACTTTTTCGCTCATAACACGTGTCCTCACGTGTAGTAAGTGCTCAATAAATATTTATTGAATAAATAAATGAGCGACTCGAATGAATGGCAATGCAGCATGTCCCCTGTCTGAGCGATGCTAGGAGGGACGGCTAAGAGAAGGTGCCCGTGTGAGCCCCGATGGCTCGCCTCGTGTCTTCCCTGCCTGTCCGTTCTGGGAATCTATGGGGCATTGCCCTTAGGCCCCCCCCCCCCCCCCAGCAGGGTTACAGGTGCCCGTGTGGGATGGTGGGACAGGGACAGCGCGCTCCCCTGTTGCCACTGCTGGCCTTGCCGGCGCCTGGGTCCGGAGCTTCCCTTCCCTGACTAGAGAAAACCAGCTCCCTGAGTAGGAGTTGATGATGATGGTGATGGTGATGATGATGATGATGAGTCAGCATTTCTAACTCCAGAGTTAAAAATATTCTTCATCCCAGCCTACTTGGTATTCCTCACGACTACCATGACAGGTGGGTGGAGGAGTGTTATCTCCAAGGGAAAAACACACTGGGGGCTGTGGCCCAAAATACTGAAGGGACCCACTTTTAGGATCGTTTACCCACACCCTTTGCCAGGCTCCCCGGCCCCGGTGATCTCGCTCTCGTTCTTACCCTGCCCTGAGCTACTAGTGAATTCTTGTGTGTATTCGGATCACACATGGGAGAGAACGGGCCCGGCAAAATCAGCTTAAGGACTCAGGCCCTGGAGCTCTGCTTTTTGCCCAGAGCCACAAGTTTCTTTAACAGTGAATGTCTGATTCTGCACTTGGAGGGAAGGAGGGCCGGGCCCCTGTGAGTCCTGACCTACATGGTAACTGCACGATGTGGGGGGAGTCACTTTGACCCAAGGGACTTTAGAACACAATACCCTGATCAAAAGAGGACTCCTTTTATGCTCTCACAGTTGCTCTCGGGCTGCCGGGAATTGTGTTACTTCCACGGGGGTCACCCTGTCGCGTCCTAATCTAAGGCGCCGAAGGCCTGAGTGTCGAGAAGCCTCTCCTGCTTCCACCTTCCAGCCCCTTCTAGCTCTGCTCTCCCCTGAGTTCTCAGCTCCTCACTTCTTTCTGAACTACACAGTGCAGTCCGACAGCAGCTGGGGCCGGAAAGGTGGAGTCCGTCCGTCATTTGGGATTGCCTGTCTTTTCAGGTGGATTTTCTGCTCTTTCTGCCGCTCTTCCTCCGGGATGGGCCTCTGTCCCCTCACGGGCTGCAGGACGTAAAGGATGCCCCAGCTCAGCTCCAGCGGCCCACCTCCCTCACCTGGCCTCCCCTCCACCCACGGAGACCTTGCTCCTTCCTTGTTCCCTCCCTCCGTTCTTTCTGTTGCTGTCTGGCTTCTCCTCCTGGAGCCTTGTTTATCTCCTTTCCCTCTGGCTCCCAGCAGCCTCTCGGGCCCACAAGGCCCTACTCTCTCAGCTTTGCTGTGCTGTCCCAGGAGGCATGCAGGATATAAGTGAGAATAGATGGTAAATAGGGTGGGAAACGGAACTTGCATGAACACAAGTGCCTATTCGGCTGATTTGCCCCCGTAGCTTGGTGAAGCGTGGCCGAGAGGTTTGGATTGACAGAACCAGGGATCCTACACCCTTAGTTAATCCCAGAGATTTAGGTTTGGAAGGGGCTGATCCAGGCTCCAACAGGTTTATTACTGAACGTTGGCAGATGCCTTCTGCTTCCATCCTAAGCAGGTCATTGGAAATGAAAGGCTTTTGTTTCCTGGGCTTGGAATGGTGTGTGGCTAAGCTTTTCCAGGCTGAATGAGGAGGAGGGAATCTTTGGGTTAGTTGGCTGGCTCGCCTGTGGTGGGCGTGAGGGTGGGGTTAAAACAAAAAGCTTATCTATGTGTTAACCCTCTTTTCACTAAACAACAACAACAAAAAACCAACAACCAAAAAAACTCCCCAGAACACCAAAAGCAAAACTTACTTATTCCAAATATTTTGTTTTACACAAACCTTAGGGAAAAGTATCAAACTACAGTATGTCACGAATAAATATATTGTATTTCCTAAAACCCAGACACCCATTAGCAGTCTGGTCACTTTCTGCTGACCCCTAATGACCAGAGGTGGTTAATCCTGGGATCTTT